GATTTAGAACAACTATTTCAAAAATAATTTTTTAAAACATATAAAGAGGAAAGGTTTTCAGAAGGAGGTTTTCCCTGGATTCTCAGGGTCAATTATTTTACATGCCACTGAGGAAGATGCAAGGAGCTCTGGTAATATAGTGATTAAGGAATCTGACTGCTAACTAAATTGTCAGTGGTTTGAATCCACCAGCCGCTCCACAGAAGAAAGATGAGGTGGCCTGCTTCTGTAAAGATTTACAGCCTTGGAAACTCAATGGGGGTCATTATGAGTCAGAACTGACTCAATGACAGTGAGGTTGGTTGGTGGTTGGAGGAAGGTGCAGTTGAGCTTTTAAGACTATCCAAGAGTCACAAAAATCTGAGAAAATTAAAACTAAAATGAAGTCAGGTTGTTGCCTAAATTATTTTATTTCTTTCTGCATAAACAGACAATACCATCATTTTACTATTCTCTGGTCACAGCCTTTTACACTTAATCCCAAATATCTACATCCTATACAAAGCTCGTCATGAGGAAGATTGAGGAATAAAGACTTGTAGGTGGTTCAGAGCAAACCCACTTCTGCTGCTACTAGATGTTCCAGCAGACAGCACCACTAAACCAGTTGCCATCAAGTCAACTCTGACTCATGGCAACCGCGTCTGTGCCAGAGTAGAACTGTGCTCCAAAGGGTTTTCAACAGCTGATTTATCAGAAGTAGACTGCCAGGCTTTTCTTCCAAGGCACCTCTGGGTGGACTGAAACTACCAATCTTTCAGAACAGCTGAGTGTGTTAACTGTTTGCACCAAGATTATGGAGGACAGTAATGATTTGGGCAAATGTGGCTTAAAAATGGACTTCATGCTTTTGGGTTTTAGTTATCTGGGCTTGAAGGCTTTACTACTATCATAAAAATGATGGGCTTATAAAAAATTCAAACTGTACAGAACAACAACAACAAAAAACAGAAAACATCCTCTGAACATATTTCACAGCAATAATCACTGAACAATTGGTGCTTGTTATATTTTGTTTTGTTTTTACATCTACCTTCAAAAGAATTAATCATTTCTCACATATTATATGGCAAAAATAAAAAAGGTATTTTAATATTATAGGCTGACAAACTTGTAGAAAAGTGAACATCTTTGTGTAGTGTTATGAGTGTAAATTAGTGTATTAACACATTGAAAGGCAATGAGAGATTAACAGAATCTATGTTAATTAAAAATGTGTATATCCTGAGATCTAGCCATATAATACCCATTAGCAGTCACTCCCTTTCTGCCTTCCTCTCTGCCCTAGGCAACCACTAACCTACTTTCTGTCTCTAGAGATAGAACAGGATTTTCCTATTCTGTACATATAATATAAATAGAATAATATATGACCTTCTGTATCTGGCTTCTTTCACTAACAAAGTATTTTCAAGATTCACTCACATTGTAACATAAATCAATACCTCCTTTTTATGGCCAAATAATATTCTGTTGTATGGATATAACAATTTGGTTGTATACCCATCAGTTGGTGGACATTGGGGTTGTTTCCATTTTCTGGCTATTATGAAATATGCTGCTATAAACATTCATGTACAAGATTTTATATGTTGTTGTTGTTGTTGTTATGTGCTGTCAAGTCAGATCCAACTCATAGAGACCCCTCCTTGGGTTTCCAAGGCAGTATCGCTACGGAAGTAGATTGCTCAACCTTCCTTCCGAGGAGTGGCTAGTGGGTTTGAACCACCAGCCTTCTGGTTAGCAGTCAAGTGCCTTAGGCACTA